TCTTATAAGGTGAAGACTGATTTTAACTAAGGGATTTGTTAAGATGGAGGAAGTTTGTAACCTCGAACAATTTAATATAGGTGTGTACCTTGTTGTTGGTTGTATCTCTGAGGAATGTGTGAGGACCAGGATGCTATGATAGACATGCTAGACATCAGGAGTGAGGTACAACACAAAGGACACTCCAGGTTGGGGCTTTGGTCCCTATATTATATCCTTCTCTGATGAGGAAAGGTGTGCTGGATTATACAGGTTTTTTTTTTTTTTTTCTTCATATGCTGAACGACCAACAAATGGTCGACATTGAGTTATTCAGTAACTTCTCATGTAGTTGTAAGAGGATCAGCTTCAATGATCCTCTCAGTTGGTCACTGTCAACTTCCAATGGCCAGCCACTGTGTTCCTCATCTTTAAGGCTCTCATCTCCTTTGCAAAACTTCTTGAACCACCACTGCTCTGTACGTTCATTAGCAGTTCCTGGGCCAAATGCATTGTTGATGTTGCAAGTTGTCTCTGCTGCCTTATGACTCATTTTGAACTGTTAATAAGAAAATTGTTCGAATTTGCTTTTTGTCTAATGTCATTTCCCTGGTCTAAAATAAGCATAAAATATGCACCAGAATCATACAACTGAACGACCAGCACTTTCACTTTTTCAGTGATAAAATATAGAGCAATTATACAATATACTGTAATAAAAGTTATGAGAATGTGATTGCTAATTATTGTGCTTAGTTGCTCAGTCATGTCCAGCTTTTTGTGACCCCACGGACTGTAGCCTGCCAGGTTCCTTTGTCCATGGGGATTCTCCAGGTAAGAATACTGGAGTAGGTTGCCATGCCCTCCTCCAGGGGATCTTCCCGACTCAGGGATCAAACCCAGGTCTCCTGCATTGCAGGTGGATTCTTTACCATCTGAGCCGCCAGGGAAGCCCTGATAAGAGAGATGCAAATCAAAGCTACAATAAGGTATCACCTCATACAAGTCAGAATGACCATCATCAAAAAGTATAAATAATAAATACTGGAAAGAGTGTGGAGAAAAGGGAACCATCCTACACTGTTAAATTGGTGGACCACTATATAAAACAGTACGAAGTTTCCTTAAAAAACTAAAAATAGAGTTATGATATGATCCAGCAACCCCACTCCAGGGCATATATTTGGGAAAGACAAAAACTCTAATTTGAAAAGATATATGCACCTCAGTGTTCATGGAAGTACTATTTACAAAAGCTAGAACTTGGAAGCAACCTTAGTGTCAATCAACAGATGAATGGATAAAGAGGATATGGTACATATATAATGGAATATTACTCAAACATAAAATGAATGAAATATGCCATTTGCAACAACATAGATGGATCATGGGCTTCCCCAGTGGCTCAATGGTAGAGAATCCGCTTGCAGTGCAAGAGAAGCAGAAGACACAGATTTGATCCCTGGGTTGGGAAGATCCACTGGAGGAGGAAATGGCAACCTACTCCAGTATTCTTGCCTGGGAAATCCCAGGGACAGAGGAGCCTGGTGGTCTATGTCCATGAGGTCGCTAAAGAGTCGGACACAATTGAGCAACTGAGCACCACACAGATGGACTTAGAGATTATCATACTAAGTGAAGTGAGTCAGGCAGAGAAAAAACAAGTATTATGTGGTATCACTTATATATGGAATCTAAAAATAATAATACAGGTGAACTTATTTGGAAAACAGAAGCAAACTCACAGACAGAAAACACACTTATGGTTACCAAAGGGGAAAATTCGGGGTGGGGGGTAAATTAGGAGTGTGGGATTAATAGTTACATACCATTATATATTGGAGAAGGCAATGGCAACCCACTCCAGTACTCTTGCCTGGAAAATCCCATGGATGGAGGAGCCTGGTGGGCTGCTGTCTATGGGGTCGCACAGAGTCAGACATGACTGAAGCAACTTAGCAGCAGCAGCAACCATTATATATAAAGCAGATAAATAGAAAAAAAAAACCTCAGATAAACAGGATTTATTTATTTATTTAGCACAGGATCTGTATTTAATATCCTGTAATACCTGTAATGGAAAAGTATCTAAAGTATGCGTGAAACTAACACAATATTGTAAATTGAATATAGTTAAATGAAGTAATTTAAAACAAAGTTATGAATATGGCCTTTCTCTCAGAATATTGTACTGTACAATTTAATGATGTTTCTGTCTTAACTAAGCACTTACCACACACTATGGCCGTAACTTTTGCGGTTTCAGGTGTGACAGCAAGACTAGCGTGAACTTCTTTTTCCTTCTTCACAGTTTTACTGATAGAAAATTCATTCGTACTGTAGATCTAATCAACCTCAGTATACAGGTTTTTTTTTTTCTTTATTAGTCAAGAACTTACCCCTTTTTACTTAAAGGAAGCATTTTATCGCATCTCTTAGTAAAAGTAAACTTGCTCAGTCATATCTGACTCTTTGTGACCCCGTGGTCTGTAGCCTGCCAGACTCCCCTGTCCATGGGATTTTCCAGACAAGAGTACTGGAGTGGGTTGCCATTTCCTTCTCCAATGGCGTCTCTTGGGCATATCCAAATTTTCAGCATTACCACTCTTGTGTTTTGGGGCCACTACTAAGTAAAATAAGTGTTATTCAAATGCAATAACTGTGATACTATGACAGGCAACATGATAATCTAGATTGATGGCTAGTAAGTGAATAAGGAGTGGGATATCTGGGCAAAGGGATAATTCACATCCTGGGCAGGATGGAACCTGATGGAGTGAGATTTCATCACACTACTCAGAATGGTGCTTAATCTAAAATTTATTATTTCTGGAATTTTTCATTTAATATTTTCAGACTATAGTTGACCATGGGTAACAAAATTGAAAAATATCAACAACCTCAGATATGCAGATGATGCCACTCTAATGGCAGAAAGTGAAGAGGAACTAAAGAGCTTATTGATGAGGGTGAAAGAGGAGAGTGAAAAAGCCAGCTTGAAACTTAACATTAAAAAAACTAAGCTCATGGCACCCAGTGCCATCACTTCATGGCAGATAGAAGGGAAAAAAGTAGAAACAGTGACAGATTTTATTTTCTTGGGCTCCAAAATCTCTGTGGATGGTGACTGCGGCCATGAAATTAAAAGACACTTGCTCCTTGGAAGGAAAGCTAGGACAAACCTAGACAGTGTTTTAAAAAGCAGAGAAATCACTTTGCTGACAAAGGTGCATATAGTCAAAGCTGTGGTTTTTCCAGTAGTCATGTACAGATATGAAAGTTGAACCATAAAGAAGACTGAACACTGAAGAATTGATTCTTTCAAATTGTGGTGCTGGACAAGACTGTTGAGAGTCCCTTAGGCTGCAAGGAGACTAAACCAGTCTATCCCAAAGGAAATCAACCTTGAATATTCATTGGAAGCACTGATGCTGAAGCTTCAATACTTTGGCCAGCTGATGCAAAGAGCCAACTCATTGGAAAAGACCTTGATGCTGGGGAAGATTGAAGGCACAAGGAGAAGGCAGCAGCAGAGAATAAGGTGGCCCAATAGCATCACTGACTCAATGGACATGAATTTGAGCAAACTCCAGGAGATAGTGGAGGACATAGGAGCCTGGTGTGCTGTAGTCCATGGGATTGCAAAGAGTGGGACATGATTTAGTGACTGAACAACAACAACTGAAAGTGCAGAAGATAGGGCAAGGGGTTGCTACTATTCTTGGATTTTTTTCAAGTTGGGAAGTATGGAGACATATTGGCTCCAAACAGATATTCTCCATGATGTAATCAGAAGGGTTGGAAGGCAATTAAACATGAATAATTTTCTCACCGTGATTTAATGTTAATATTGTTTCCATGTAAGCCCAATTTATCATCCCACTTACTGGGAAATACTACCTACAGAATTAATTTGGAATCCATTTTGTGACATGTAAGTTCTCATGATCTCTCCCCTGCCTACCTTATCTCCACTTTTCTCCCTTGCATTTTGTCCTTAGCAAATTAGAACTATTTCGGGTTGTTATAATGATTAAATGAGATTGTATATATAAAGTGCTTAAAAGGAAGTGCTCAATAAATATTAGCTGTTATCATTGTCATTATTATTGTATTTTTTTCTAACTAATATATGTTCTGCCTGCTTACAAATACTGTCACATATTCTTGGAATGCCCTATCCCATTGGTCTGCCCAGCTAATGCCAATTATTCTTTGTAGTTCTCAGTTCAAGTCCTCTCCCTCTGTGAAGACTCTCCTGAATCCTCCCACACTCCACTGTACCTTGAATACATTCCTATCACATCACCTAACAAATTCTCTTTTATTATGTGAATGGTCTCTGCTAGTCTGTAATTTCCTTCAGGGCAGAGACTGCATCTTCTTGTCTTTTAATCCCTGCCACATAGTGCATTGCCCAGTCCACAGTATTAATTCAACAAATATAGATTAAGGACCTTGGTATGTCTTACTCTATGCTGGGCATTTATGGTACAAAGATGAATAAGACATGATCTATACCTTTGAGATAGGAAACTTCTAGAAATATATATGATAATGCATTTTAAACTTATTAGTTTTTTGTTCAAAAAAGCAGAACACCTTAGTGAGGTTTGAACATACACTCTTCATAAAGCTACATTTCAAATCATAATCTGTGGGTCATATGTGAATTTCACATATTTTATCCCATTGAGTTTGATGGAGTGTGAGGTCTCTGACTGCAAAGACTATATACCTTAGTATCTATATTCCCTCAAGGTATATGGCATTCATTTTTTACCTTAGGTAAACACTTACTACATGTAAGACTCATAATTATTTGAAATGACTTTTGACTTCAGTATTGAATAAATTAAAAAAATCACCTAATATATTTAGCTTTGTAGCTGTGACTGAAAAACTGGGACAATGGATGTGGGTAGAAATCATAATTAATATGAGTGAAAGTGCCAATGCTAACATGGTATAGTAGCTTTACTTGCTATATATATCTGTAATGAGTTTATTCTTTCTTATAGGATATTTATAAAACCGTAGATACCAATGCTGATTCTGGATTGAACTTTGAAGATTTTATGCGCTACCTTAAAGACCACGAGAGAAAAATGACACTGGCATTTAATAGTCTGGACAAAAATGATGATGGTGTGTGTGTGTTTTATCCACAGTTAGATTAACATTAATGATAACTGTGAATACTAAAGGATGTTTTTACTAGCTTTTAACTTACTCCCACTATCAAATACTCAATTATATCTATTACTTGTCTTGTAGTNTTACTAGCTTTTAACTTACTCCCACTATCAAATACTCAATTATATCTATTACTTGTCTTGTAGTAATTTTTTAATTTCTAAGAGTAATATGTGAATGATATTTATTAGTATTAAAATTTCTGTGGGGTTAGTCATATTTTTAATAAAATTGTTTTTTGTCTTCTGAATTTAGAACTTCTTGGCATAGTAAGTAGACCTCTTCACTATTTTTGCAATATATGAGCTAAAAGTATCATGGTGATTTAAATCATTATATTTGTTGTTTTCTAGCTGATTTTGAAAAATTTCAGTTGTAGGAAAGTTAGTTAATACAGATAGATAACAGAAAGAAAGAAACAGTTACCTGTGACCTTGCTGTCTAGAGATCAGGCTTAATATTTTAATATATTTTTATATTTCCTTTTAGACTTTTTGTTTCTGTCTCTTTCTTGATCTTTTTCTCTTTAAGTGAAACTGTGGTCACACTGTATGTATAGTTTGATGTCCTACTTTTTTCTTTTAATGTCAGTGTAAGCATTTCACTTCATTTAATGTTCTTTGCAAGCATAGTTTTTAATGACTTTGAAATATTCAGTTGGTGAGTAGATGTATCTAATCAATCCCATATTGTTAGACGTTTAGAATGTTTCCAGTCTTTTATACATACAATCAATATCCATGCTGATTTGCAGAGGAAAGGAATACTCTCACTTTGTTACAAATCCTTAAATCAAAGAGACTAAATGTAAAAGTAGAATACCATTTCTGTATTCGCATATGGCTAATTCATCATGGGTAATTAGAAATTGATTATACTTTATTTATGAAACATACATATTAATTTAAAAATTCTGTAAAGTCTAATTTTTTAATTGAAAAATTCTGAGTATACCAGAAAAGATGTTTTAAGGATTTCACTGATGAATTCTTTGTAAGACAAAGTGTAACCTGAATGTCACAAGCTTTAGTGACCTATAAGCACAGAAGTGGTTGTATTTCCCTTAATATCAAACCATAGGTTTCAAGCTTCCATTTACCTTCCAGGAGAAAGTGTAGGCCTTTGTGGGCCCTCCTACTTAAATAATGTCCAGAAGCTTGAAGTACTACTCATTCATATCTATGAATTAAACCTGGTCATCATTTGCTGTTGATCTAAGACTGATAGTTCTATTCTTGTGCTCTTCAGGAATTTCACTCCATTATTGATGGTTACCACCATGGTCATCATTTGTAAGCTGAAAATACACTGTATCATAATCAGTGAAAGTAGAAAACCCCTAGTAAAAAAATATAATGTTACTCTTGTCTCTGAAAATCAGTGCTTATAGCTCTTGGTAATAATAGAAAATACTCTTTCTGAGGCTAGATGGCCATCCAAAGTAATGTAATGATTAGCAATATAGATCTTTTAACTTCTGCCTTGACTGGTCAAACTGGAACATCACAGCCAAGTCCTGAAGCGGCACCATTTCGGAAGAGCTCTTGTCTGAATTCCCACTGGCTTCTTTTGTTCTTAGCATCTGAGCCGTGACAGTGGGTGTGAAGCTGTCCTGTGGCTACCAGAGCTGCTGCCCGCCTGAACTGCAGAGCACAGGCCCGAGCGGACCTGCAGAGGCACTGTTCTGATTCAGGCGCTCGCTTTGTGTCATCATCGCTGCCTCCTCAGAGACCACACTTCCGTAAAGCTCAGCCAGTTTACCTTGGCCATGATGCTTTTTGTGGGTATGAAATGGTGTACCTCCTCTATTACAGATTGCATTTGTTGTTGCTTAGTCACTAGTTTGTGTTTGACTCTTTGTACAGAGGGAGATAATATGATGTAGCCATTTGATAATGGAGTCAGCCTTGGAGTGATCTGTCTGTAAGCCAAGGAATACCTGAGACTACCAGACACTAGGAGAGAAATACAGAACAGATCCTTCCGTAGCATCTTCCAAAGGAGCGTGGCCCTGCCAACACCTTGGTTTCAGACTTTTGGCCTTCATCATTTTTTGGCTCTATTTATGTGGTCATAAATATGTGAAATGAAGTAATTATTAGACAGAATTTCATCATTAAGATTCTTTTTTGGAAGGAGTTGTGTTTTTTTTTTTTTTTTAGATTGGGAAAATGGTGGGAAAGAAACTAGAATTTTTTGTACTTTACCATCTGCCATACTTGTTTTAGCTGCTTTATCTTCTATATCTTATTTTTGTCTCATGCAGTCCTCATAGCAGCTACCTTTTACATATGAGAACAGTAATGCTAAGTAATACATTTGGTATTTCAGTGAACCTCATCTAGCAGGGTTTATGCCTTTGTGTAACCCTGAACCGCATTGACCTGGGCTTGGCCAGTTGACTTGCTTCAATCATTAGGACACTGTTGTTGTTGTTCCGTTGCTGAGTCGTGTCCCACTCTTTGCAGCCCCATGGACTGCAGCATGACAGGCTTCCCTCACTTTCACTATCTCCTGGAGTTTGCTCAAATTCATATCTATTGAGTGGGTGATGCCATTCAACCATCCCATCCTCTGTCGTCCCCTTCTCTTCCTGCCCTCAATCTTTCCCAGCATCAGGATCTTTTCCAGTGAGTTGGCTCTTTGCGTCAGGTGGCCAAAGTTTTGGAGCTTCAGCTTCAACATCAGTCTTTCCAATGAATATTCAAGGTTGATTTCTTTTAGAATTGACTGCTTTGGTCTCCTTGCTGTCCAAGGCAAGAGTCTTTTCCAACACTACAATTCAAAAGCATCAGTTCTTCAATGCTCAGCCTTCTTTACGGTCCAACTTTCACATCCATACATGACTACTGGAAGAACCATAGCTTTGATTAGATGGATCTTTGTTGGCAAAGTGATGTCTCAGTTTTTTAATACACTATCTATGTTTGTCATAGTTTTTCTTCCAAGGAGCAAGTGTCTTTTAATCTCATGGCTGCAGTTACCATTTGCAATGATTTTGAAGCCCAAGAAAATAAAGTCTGCCAGTTTCATTTTTCCCCATCTTTTTGTCTCAAAGTGATGGGACCGGATGTCATGATCTTAGTTTATTGAATGTTGAGTTTTAAGCCAGCTTTTCCACTCTTTTCTTTCACCTTCATCAAGAGGCTGTTTAGCTCCTATTCACTTTCTGCCACTAGGGTGGTGTCATCTGCATTTCTGAAGTTATTGATATTTCTCCCAGCAATCTTGATTCCAGCTTGGTATTCATCCAGCCTGGCATTTAGCATGATGCACTCTGCATAGAAGTTAAATAAGCAGGGTGACAGTATATAGCCTTGAAGTATTCCTTTCTGAACTTTGAACCAATCCTTTGTTCCAGATCCTGTCTAGTTCTAACTTGCTCTTGACCTGCATTAGGACATTAGCAAGGCTTAATAAGTACTTGCACACTGGGACTTGTCCTCTTGGAATTCTTGCTCTTGAACACCCTGAGCCACCAGAAAAAAGCCACAAGCTAATGAGACCAAATGGGCATTTCCAACTGTTCTACCTTTCCATCTGATGTAAAAGACATGTGAGCGAAGCCATCTTGGATTTTCAGCTATGGTCAAACCTCTAGATGACGGAATTCACATGACTGACCCAGGCAAAACCAGCAGAAGAACCAATGTGTTGAACCAAACTCTGATTGCATGCTATTATCAAATACATTCTTATTAAACCAGTAAAATTTGAGATGGCTTGTTGACTTAGCAAAATAATCTCTAGTATAGAAGTGGAATATTTTGCATTTCCCCTTGGAATTACAGGACTGGAATAGTCACAGTCTTCCTCTCCATACATCTAACAACTGTTACTCTAGCAAATCCATTGCAAGCCCATCTTTCTCAGTGAAAACTTGCTGTATATAATTAAAGACAACATTGAATCTCCCATTCAGTCCATAGGTATTGATTATATTCTGAATTGCATTACCTAATTTTTCTCTACATCATAGTTTGAAATTTTAAATTCTTTTGCATAAGGATTAATTACTTAATGTAATTTTAGGTCAATGAAGCAAAGAGTTTTTGAGAAGTATATGTGAGCTAGTGCACTAGGAACTGTTAACAAAGTTTTCAGAAGCAGACAGTTTTGGGCAAAATAAGAAGAATGAATAGCCATACACAAGCTAGACTATGATAATTGCTATATGAGTGATAGAGGGAGACTTTAATTGTGCTCAGGAACAATTTAGTTATCTTCTGGGTCAATATATAAACATAATTGGAAAGAAAGGAGTTTTTTTTAAAATTACTTTTTATTTAACATATAAAAATTGGGAGATTTCATATAAAAATTTGTTTCCCCAGTTTTCTTTAAAATGAAACAGATGACCCACTTTACAACATGGTAAAAATCAGTGGGGTTTAGTAGCAATTACTCCATTTGTACAGATATCCGCTCCCCGTAGACCATAATGTTTGCCATTCCTTATTATCTCCCTAATGTGAAGGTCAACACATGGTACCATTCATCTCTGCTCTTCTACTATATTTTTTTTTTTTGTTGTTGTTGTTTAATTTAAGTATAGTTGATTTACAATGTTGTATTAGTTTCAAGTATACAACAAATTGATTTACTTATATGTTCTTTATATATGTATATAGTTGTATATTATTCTTTTTCAGATTCTTTCCATTATAAGTCATTACAAGATATTGAATACAGTTGGAATATTTTGCATTTCCCCTTGGAATTACAGGACTGGAATAGTCACAGTCTTCCTCTCCATACATCTAACAACTGTTACTCTAGCAAATCCATTGCAAGCCCATCTTTCTCAGTGAAAACTTGCTGTATATAATTAAAGACAACATTGAATCTCCCATTCAGTCCATAGGTATTGATTATATTCTGAATTGCATTACCTAATTTTTCTCTACATCATAGTTTGAAATTTTAAATTCTTTTGCATAAGGATTAATTAC